TGAAGAAAGTGAAATTCCAGGCTAAGCTAGAACATGAATACATCCAGAACTTCAAAATACTACAAGCAGGTTTTAAGAGAATGGGTGTTGACAAAGTAAGTAAATTTTACTCTTTCGAAGTTGTTTATTAATTAGTAACTGTTACTAAGGTTGGACATTTTCTACCCCCCCCCCACCATTTATATAATTACCTTTTCTCCAGGTAAAATAGGATTTACTGGGAGCAGCATTTCTCTGTACCCTCCTACCCCTGGTTCCCTTGCTGTCTTCTTTCTTTATTTTGAAGTTACTAGTGTCTGGAGGAATCAGCCTGTAAATCTGTACTCAGAATTTTTTTTTTTTTTTTTTAATAATACTGTCTAATCTTTATTAGTCTGAGATCTAAATCCTTTTTATCTCTGGATCTACTTTTGTAAAGCATACCATATGGTAGAATAAGTAGTTCTAATAGAGAAGATTCTAGAAATACTTGCTTTTTATAGTAGGATACAAGGAACATCCCTTATGTGTGCTGTCAAGTTCCCTTTTGCCCCTAAGGATATTTGAAAGTACCAGAAACATAGCCCACTAGGCTTCATTAGGACAAATATTATCTCTGTTTTAGTAGATAATAAATTAACGCAAAATTTAGCAGTTTCACTCCATTAGAATGGTTTATTCTTTTTTTTATAAGATTCTATTTATTTACTGAGAGAGAGTGCAGAGGGGGAGAGGAGCAGAGGGAGAGAGAGAATCTCAGACTCCATACCGATCGTAGAGCCTGATGTGGGGCTCTCTCTTATGACCCCGCGATCATGACCTAAGCCAAAATTAAGAGTTGGATGCCTGACTGACTGAGCCACCCAGGTGCCTCAGAGAATGGTTTATTCTTTTAAGCCTTTTTTGGGGGAAATGTTACTTTAGTAAAGCTTGTAATCACCCCCTAGTTATCTTGGTGATGTGTCTGGTCTGTATTTACTTTGAAATCAGTTTTCTTTTAATTTGTCTCTGTATATGAAATATGCATTTGTATTGAATGAATATCATTTAGGTACCAGGCTTAGTTTAAACTAGATGTAGTTTACTTATGTGCAGTAATTTTTCTTTTTATAGAATTGTATTTTATTTTTTTGAACAAGGAAAATTCTTAAAATACAGAAAAGTAGAGGAAATAGTGTGATGATCCCCTCAGGTACCTCAGTGATTATCAAATGATGGCCAGTTTGTTTCAGATATCCCTTTACCCCACCTGCTATACTCAGGGATTATTGAGAAGTGAGTTCCAGATAACATTTTGCTTATAAATGTTTCAGTATCATACAAATTTTTTTTGAAGATTTCATTTATTTATTTGACAGAGAGAGATCACAAGTAGGCAGGCAGGCAGAGGGAGAGGGAGAAGCAGACTCCTCACTGAGCAGGGAGCCTGATGTGGGATTCGATCCCAGGACCCTGGGATCATGACCTGAGCCGAAGGCAGACGCTTCACTGACTGAGCCACCCAGGCGCCCCACAAAGTAATTTCTTAAAATTATACTTATTTGCTCAGAGGAGTGGATATAGTTCAAAATATTACATATATTAGTTTTTATAAAAATACCATTGCAACTGGAATCCTTGACGAGTTAAAAGATAGTTAAACTCTTCCTGACAGTCTAGCAATTTAAAGTAATACCTGATAGGTATCCTTGTACAATAAGAAAGTTTACAGGGTTATATTTTAATAGGACTGGAATTACTTGAAAAACATACCAGGGGCACCTGGGTGGCTCAGTCGGTTAAGCGTCTGCCTTCGGCTCAGGTCATGATCCCAGGGTCCTGGGATCGAGCCCCTCATTGGGCGTCCTGCTCAGTGGGGAGCTTGCTTCTCCCTCTCCTTCTTCTGCTCCCCCTGCTTGAAGATTTTATTTATTTGACAGAGAGACACAGCGAGAGAGGGAACATAAGCAGGGGGGAGTGGGAGAGGGAGAAGGAGGCTTCCCGCGGAGCAGGGAGCGCGATGCGGGGCTTGATCCCAGGACCCTGAGATCATGACCTGAGCCGAAGGCAGACGCTTAACGACTGAGTGACCCAGGTGCCCCAAATAAAATCTTAAAAAAAAAAAAAACCATACCATTTTGTAGAAATCTGTTGTGGGACAAATTATGTACCTTGACCTATTTTTAAGACAATTTTTTTCCTTTTTTTTTTTCTGGATAAATTTTTTTTCCAGTTTTATTGAGATATGATTGATAAGACCGAATTTTCTTTAACACAGTTCATTGTAGATACCTGTGGTTGGTTTGTGCTCTGGGTTTCCTACTTTGTGATGGGCATTGTGGCCATGCAAGCTGCCTGGGAGATTTACTCTTTTTCAGTGGAATGACATGTTTTATTATGTGCTTGGATGTGTGTATGTGACTAATACATGATTTGTGTTCTTTCGCATTTCTGATTCCTTTTGATGGACTGGGAGGTGGGTTGGCAGGTGTAAGTACTTTGTGGAAGGCAAACTGATTGAAACTTGCTCTATAAACTTTTCAGGGCTTACTTAGCACTAAGTTCTTGCCTCTAAAATTTTTTTTTCTCCTTTTGGCAGAGCTTTATACTGATTTGATGCATGGACAAGTTTGGTGCTTGCCAGAAACCTCTTGCTTTGGGCTAAATAGTCTTGATATTTTTCTGCAGATAATTCCTGTGGACAAATTAGTAAAAGGAAAGTTTCAGGACAATTTTGAATTTGTTCAGTGGTTCAAGAAGTTTTTTGATGCAAACTATGATGGAAAAGACTATGACCCCGTAGCTGCCAGACAAGGTCAAGAAACTGCAGTGGCTCCCTCCCTTGTTGCTCCAGCTCTGAACAAACCGAAGAAACCTCTCAGCTCTAGCAGTGCAGGTAAAACTACAAAACAAAAATGCCATTTCCAAATAATAGTATTCCAGGTATTCATTCAGTCATTCATTCATTCAACCTTCAACCAGAGGGTTTTGAGCAGCCATAGGCTTAGGGAGAATAAGGAGTGCAGGCAATCCCAGCCATGTGGCAGGATCATGGATTGTGGCATCAGGCAGACCTGTGTTTGTTCTTAGGTCTCTGTAGCCCTGTTTAAGCCACTTTATCTCCGCCCCCCCCTGCCCCCCCGCCCCGGTTTCTTCCTCTGTAAAATGGGAATTTCAGTACTTGCCCCAGAGGGTTCTTGAGGCCTGAATGAGTTACTCTATGTAATTTTTGCCAGTACTCTTTAGTTGTTTGGGATAGAAATTCCTCAGGTTAGCTCACAAAAGGGAGCTTTAGTTTGAACACAAGGACTTTTTTCACGGGGCCCTGGGATGGGAAGTTATAACCAGACCTCAACACCCAGGAACTGAAGGAGATTTCTAGGTCTCTTAGGGACTGTGCTTGGCTCTCTGCATCATCATTCTGTCTGCCGACCAGCTTCCTGTGCTTACTGTGGCTTCCCTGCCCTCCCTAAAATTTGAGCTGCTAAGTGGCTTTGGCTTGCTATGATGCCAGCAGAATCTGGGAGGCAGTTTTTAGAGACCTCCTCTAAAAGATTTTGGCCTGGTAGGTTTCCCAAAACCTGTTTGCAGTCATGTATTCGTAGAACATGTGTATACTTCAGGGCAGGGCAGATGTTCTACAGATGCTACCGCCTCCTTTCCCAGAAGGTGGAAAGAATATTAGTTAAGGTCCCATAGTACCTTTTTTTTTTTTTTTTAAA